TACCTTTCCTTTTCATAATCTACCCCCCGAACTCAAGAAAACATCTCTAAAGGTCTTTCCTGTGCTTTTTCACCTTTCCTTTTGGACAAAAGAAAAGTCGGTGGAGACTCTTGCTAAACCGTAACATTTGTGAACACAAACGCAAAACAATCAAGTCAGTTCTCCCACCGTATCACAGAATCCAATTTATTGTCGAAATGCTTCCTCGTCCACTAAAAAGGGAAATTGTAGACCAACTTATTCACGTGCTCTCCCAGCTCGTTCAAAACGGGGGGCCCATTCTCATCATGTACTAGAGCATTCCGAAAAACGTCCAGCATCTCCCTGCTCGAAGAGGATGCCAAACAGACTCCAGGTAAGCTTTGAACAGCTTCCCATTGCCCTGCTTTAAGGCGACCCATCCCCACTTGCCATCAATATTTCTCCTCTGGAGATGGAAACAATAGAAGAAAAAAGGGATGTTTGCCCCAATTTTCAAGTAATCATAGACAATCTTGAACGCTCGTATGAAAGCAACCTCATTCAGATGCAACGGGAAGGAGTCAGTTGAATGTGACGAAAAACGGCCAGTTGGAAATCTGAGAAGGGGAGTCGAAGCCCCATCTCCTAAAACACGATGTTGTACATATGGATCCGCATCTTATCGTATTTATAGTAGATTCTTCTATCCTTCTCGGGGATCGAAACCGACCATTCCCCTCGACCTCCATCATCGTACGCGTAAACATCGGTGAAAATATCATTGCGGTGCTCAAAGAAATAAGAAACCCAATCCCAATGGTCTTGCGCGACCCAGGTCCGCATGTCTTCATCGTCATTGAGCGGAAACAGGCCACCCTCATCAACAGGCGCCCTCTCCCCCCGCGTGTCGATCAAACCTATTCAGCTCATCTCCATATATCTCCAAGATGCTCGACGTACTGCAAGTTTCGTCTGTAGAGCTCTGGAAGGATTCACTCCGTCCATCTAAAAAATTGTCTCCAACATTTTCGGCCATAGTACCTGAAAAGAAAATGATAGAGGTGAGTTCGACATCAATGTCAAAACCACCCTTTCACCACTAATCAAGTGAAAGGGAACTGATAAGCGAGGACAATGTCCCTGGCCAGAACCATCACTATAGCATCTGAACAAACAAACACTTTTTTCAACAAAACAAGCTCCATTCAGGGAAAACGACCTAAGTCTTCAAGGATCACCTACTGTGCATTGCGAAAATCAGGAGAATACCCACAGTGGCTCTAGAGTTTCTAAAACTACAGAACCACCGTCTGATATCAACACTCCTCTAAAAACGCCCCAACAAACAATATCCTAACCCTAACCGCATGCATTTCTAAGGCAAAAATCGTGAAAATCTGAACTACAAAAGCCAAATGACAACAAAAAAATGAAATCTTACCAGGTAAAGAAGAAAGAAGGGTGAAAAGAGCGGTGGCGGATAGTTTAACTTCAAGAAACATCGGTGGTCGACAGGCAAGCAGTAATGAGAAATGCGAGTAAAGGACGAAAAATACAAAATTCCCTACTCTTCTCGTATTTATATCTAAAATCGCCCGCGCTTGAGAGACACATGCCTAGGGAACCATAGGATCGTCATTATTACTCCCTAGCCCCTAGAACATCATTGCGCCACTTTGTCAGCACACTACCCGAAACACACTACCTCTTCAATTTTCGAAGCTCAAAACGACCAACTTATCATCTTCCCGCGAGAAAGGCGCAACGAATGATGGTCATGATCCCCGTAAGAAGCGCCCTATCCCACGAGAAAGTGTTAAAGTCATCACTCTTGTGCTCAGAAGCAACGAATCGGTGGACTACTGTTCTGGACTGGCCTAACAGCTAGGGTGGGACCAATCCGACCTCCTCCTTCGACATGGCCCATGCGACCACGTCCCGGGCTCCCCCTCCATCTGTCGGGCACCATCCATCATTTCCCCTCCTTGACCAGTACTGACCTACGATGATCAATGAACACCTCTTAATTTTCCCGACCTCAAGTCGGCCAGACAACTAGGAATTGAGCAGACTGTTGACTGGTATGATCAAGTCCTGATAGTTATCTATTTTTGCAGACTCGCATATCTAGGACCAAAAATAGGAACCAATGGCCATGCGGCAGGGGCATTATACAAACCCTCACATATGTGAGGGTCAGGTATCGAATATTCACTATTCACCACAAAAACCCTAATACTTTGCTTGTATCTCTTTGCTCCCATACTTACTTGATCGTCGGAGTGCCTTATAGGTACAACTGCCTTTTTCCTCCTCAATATTCCAGCCCGATAGAAGATCATCATCCAGCCACTTTGCAGGTTCTGATCAACCGGTAAGATCAATTTTTATCCTAGTTCACTATTAACGAAGTTAGTTTAGTCCAACCTCCAATTTGATTTTTCCTTCTCAATAAGGATATAATTCACTATAACCAAACTTATTACATACACAAACAAATACTATATGATAATGTTCACAACCACAAAGACTACCTGTCAATGTCTTCTTAAGAATCTCTGACTATACCCTAGTCTCTCAAGGAACTATTAACTCAAGGTTGAAATACAAGATTGTGTGTTTACAAGATGCTTCTAAGAAAGCAGATTACACAAGTTGAAATACAAGATATAACACAATAATGTTAAGAGAAATTTTATGAACAATAGTTCTTTGCTAGCAAGTTAACATACAAAAGTTCCTTGCTTTACAAAATATGACAAAGGATATTTCAATAGAAAGTTGAGCAGCATTTCAGCAGAATGATTCAGCAAAAATTCTTTTCAAAGCGTTCGTTGTTCCAATTCTTCTATGTCTTTCTTTTATAGCTAAAAAGAGATTCGTTAGAGAGTAGAATAATAATACCAAATTCCAATTGTCTTCTTACATAACGTTTAGTGTGAGTGGTAGACAACAACATACCATAGTATAGTCCTTGCTCCATAAAATCATAGTAGTGTAAGGAGTGGTGATCTATTACTATTTATTCACGTAAAATTTTTTGATCTTATCTTCTAATCCCCATAGGCTTCATAATGTGTGTTTGTTGAAACATGTTTAGAAGGATCAAAACCTTGTTTTTATAACTTTGTCTTCAGAACTTTTTCACCAGAACCTTATCTTCAGAATATTCAGAACTTGGTCTTTAGGGTCTTGATCTTCAGAGTCTTTAGAACTTGTTCACCAAAACCTTGTACTTAGAATCTTTATAACCTTGGTCTTCAGAGTCTTCAGAACTTGTTCACCTGAATCTTGTCTTCAGAATCTTCAGAACCTTAGGACAAGAGAGAGCATGATCTTCATAGCTTGAGAAGTCTTCAGAAGCTCTTCCATCAGATTCGCTGTTAGAAGCTTTAAAGCTAACGTTCTTTAGAATAGTTGTTTTAGAAGCATTTCAGAACCTGACTTGATCTATGTAATACACACTTGTATCACTTAGTGTATTGATTTTAGAATTTGATGACGTCGCACACCTTATCCTCAGAGTCAGAACCTGTTAGCAAAAGCTACACACTAGGCAAAATCATTTAGGTACTAAATTGTTATATAAACACTTATGTATTGTTATCATCAAAACTAAAGGCTTGATGCATACTCAAATTTTGTTCTAACATTAACAGCCACGTGTTGCATGATCAAGCATTGAAGAAGAGTATCATGCTCTGACACATACTACCTCTGAATTGTTATGTATTGAGTCTTCCTAACTAAGATGCATATCAGTTATCTTGCCCCAACAAATCTGTTGTGTGACAATCTAAATTTAGTATTGTTATGTCATAATCTTATGCTCCATGCTAGAACGAATCACAATGAACATAATATCCATTTTGTTCGTAAAAGGGTAGTAGCTAACAAACTCAACATTGACCAAGTTCTTGGTTTTGGACAAATCTCATATTCATTCACAAAGCCTTTGTCAACTATCATATTTTAAGATTTTAGGAACAAACTGAATTGTTTCTCTCAATCAACTATAAGTTTGTGCATGGAGTATTAAAGATAACCAAAAAACAATATATGTTTATAAAAGTTTATTAGAATTTGATAATTGGTTAGAAAAATTAGTAACAAACTCCATAGCTTGATAAATAGTCTCTTTATTCCAAATTATAAGACACTTTAGGAAAATATTTCTCGAAAATATAAATCACTTTAAAATCTCAATATAACATTAATAATTTTTTTTTAATATATACGAGTACCTTATAGTATTTATTACTCTTTCTTTTCATATTCTTTTAATTTCATTTTTCAATATAATTATTAAAAATATTTTAGCAAAATTATATTATACATCATTTCAGTTTCTTATAAAATTAATAATTATATTTCTTAATTCTTCTTATAAAATAATAATTATATTTCTTGTTATAGTTTAGAATAGAAAAAGTAACTAATTGTTATTCTCATAAAATTATATCGCTTTGATCATTCAATATGGTATTAACTTTAGATTCTAAAAAAGAATCATAAAGATTCCAAGATTTTAGTCGCTAATTTTTCTTCATCATTTATATTGTTGTATTTGGAAATTCTTTGTGAGAGGCCAACATTTGGAACAGAGAACCAAATCTCAAATGATAGTGAACCTAATTTCCTACATGACCACTCTACATACACGTATACACACACACGCACACTATATACCATACTGAAAACAAAATTGGCAGCTATAGCATAGTTATTCAACAAGTTTTTGTGCTGTGTGCAGTTGAACAACATTGGAATTCTTTTTTCTGTTCACATATCACGTTCATCTCTCCATGTTGAAAATTTTGTGTAAAAGAGATCACATATATCATATAGACATAGTAGAAAACAAAAATCTCTATATATATTCATTTTCTAATTCTCTACATCTTCTATATCTATATATACTTGTTGGTGCAACCACAAATCTTCCTACTCACTAATCTATATCTGACATCTAAGTTTTATCTTCCCATTAAACTCGACTAGCTCTAGATTAACTACTACTTACTTACAAGTTATACAAATTACAGCAACAAAAGAACAAGGCCAAAAACTAGTTCCTCACTCCAACAACACATTATGTCCATTGAAATTGAACTAAGAAAATCATGGTGATTTCCTCCTCTCCCTCCAAAAACTTGTGATAATGATGAGTTCAATAGAAACATCTTTGCTTTCTCCAACAAATAGTTAATTCCACCATCATCATCATCATTACTTTGACTATGAATCACTTGTTCAATCTTCTTTTTAGGGCATCTAAGAAGACCAATATAAGTATCCAAATCATGAACACAAGAAGGGTTTTGAACATTGAAGAAATCAAGCATAAGTTCAACACCAACATGTGCATAACAAGAACAACTCCATGGAAACTCATATCTCCCTCCCATCAAAACCCTAAAATTTTCATTGAACAAAACACCAGGTAGCTTTGTTATTGGATCATTAACATTTGATATTCTCAAAACTTTCACACCTAACTCTTCACATCTTTTCTTAAACTCTAAGTTACCAACCCTTGGTCCTCCAAATGAAAAAACAGTAACACTAGCATCATTTCTATCACTCTTTTTGTTTAAACCTAGCTCTGAAATATCATAAGCAAGTAAAATAGCTAAAGCACTTCCCATGCTATGACCTGCTAAAGATATACTAACATTCTTCTCACCTTTGTGTTTACTCATCAACCGCGAAATCTCCGAAAGAAGTTGTTCTCTACAACTTTGTAGTCCAAACTTCGAAGAACTCTCATCTGAAGTATACAAAGAGAGAAACCCCGATTCGACTTTCACGTTCCGAAGTTCGTTATTCGGATCAAGTGAAGCCGGAGTCAAAGAACTCATTAGATTCGAAATCCATTCTTGATTCGTAACCGTTCCGCGGAAAGTTATAACTATATCTCTCCGACCAAGCTTCTTGTAAGACTCATCAGATGAAACGGCAACATAACCAATCCACCGACCAGAAGAATTGTTCTCAATGATGTTTGGTGGTGTTGCATAGATATATTTTGTAACTTCATATCCACAATTCTCCATTCCAACTTCCTTCAACATACTCTTCTTACCATACTTACAATTCAAGTATCGTTTCGAGTTTTGATCAAGATCAAAAGCTTTGTAAGAAGATGTAACAAACTCTCCATATCGAATAATCTCTTCGCGAAGAATCGGGTGTAAAGGGTTCAAAAGATTTTCCCAGTTATTGCACCCTTGTATCTCTCTCCAAATATTTGCTAGATTTTTAGTATTAGTAGTAGTAGGAACAATTTTGTGTGTGTATTTAGTAGAAATGGAGGTGTTAATAGTATTAGGGTAAATATTTTGTGGAAGTGCGATATCTAGTAGAGCTAAATTTGAAGCAAGAATGGATGATGATTTCAAAGAAGGAGTATTTGGTAATGAAACTTGACCAAAAGGATGAGTTTTTGTATGAAAAGTTTGTGAGAATGTAATGTGATTCATCATGCTAGGTTTGTTTGGTAAGTGTGTGATAGAAGAAGCCATAAGAAAAGAATAATATTATTGTAGATAAAGAGAGGGAGGGAGAGATGTAGAGAGAGAGAGAGGGAGAGAGTATTGTTGAGATGAGTTTTCATTAAAGAAAAACAAGAGACATGGTGGAGTTATATAGTAAGAAAGAATGAAGGTGGAGAAAGGGGTCCATAAATTCTAAAAAAGCATGTTAGGCAAGGGTTTGACTAAGAATTTCATGATAATATTTTTGAGTTTTTGGATTTTTATTTTTATGATTATGTGGTCGGTTGGGAATTAAGTTAAGAGTAGGGACTAATTTTTTTGGTTGCGGCTATGTGAGTGTAAGACAAATGAGAGAGAAGATATGAATATATTAATCATTAAAAACATCAAGTGGACCCTATTAATATTTTTTTTTCTTTTAATGGAGGTTGACTTCAAAATCTATATGCCAAAGGAACAGTTTTTTTTTCTATTTTTTTCTTTGCCATGAATGAATAAACTATCTCTATTAATATGATCCATTAAAAAATTATTTAAAATAAATTTATATGAAAAATGTTGAACGTTATGCATAAATAAAAAGTTAATATAATAATTTATATATATTGATTTTACATATTGTTAAAGTTTAGTTTATTATGCTAGACTCAACCTTTTATGGCGATATGAAAAAAGAAGAAAAAAAACGTATTTGATAGAAAGTGAAATATGAACACTTTTACTTTTAGGGTAAAAAAGAGAAATATGAACACTTTTTAACTTTTTAGGGTAAAAAAGTGGTGTGAATTTTAGGAGAGGAAGGATTATAGAGATAATTTTTAGTATTATTTTAATGAGATTTTATATTTTTTATCCGACTATATATATATATATATATATATATATATATATATATATATATATATATATATATATATATATATATATATATATATATATATATATAGTTATGAATTATTCACTCCTCTCTCCATATTAATTTATAAGAAAAAAACCATTCAATTTCTTATTACAAATTATAAGAAAAAAACACCAACTTTATTTTATTTAACTTTGTATTGTAAAAAAATTATTTTTTCTAAGATGAAATTAAATATCAATTATATTTAATTTGATTTGATTTCTTTCTTTATTTCTATAAATAATAATTAATTAAAATTATTTATATATCTTCCCGTAAAATATATTCTAAAAAAATACAAAAATTAAATTTTCTTAATAAATGTGAAATATTTTTACATATAAATTAATATGGAGGGACTAATGTAGTTGTTTAGTAGTAATAAATTTCTTCAATGAACATGTTATATATGGTGTTTTTTTTTACCTATGTGATTTTAATAGTTTAGTCTTAAGGTTAAATCCACGGATTCGTGTTCATTCATGATCCATTTCAAAATTATTATTAAAATTAATAATATTCATCATTTATAATTTTACCCATTTAAGTCTTAAGTTGGTTTAGATTATATACTAAAAAAAATTTAAATAACATTTAAGGTTTTTTTTTTGGTTTTGAATATCGACAATAGTATTTATTTGAGGTTTTTAAAAATTATAATTTTTTATTTAAATAAAAACAATTCCTATTTAAATAAAAAAATCATTTAAATAAAAATTAATTTTTATTTTTTTATTAAAATTTATTTTCTGTGAAATTGCGGTTATCATAACTCACTAATAATTAATGCATCACAACTCACTAATAATTAATGATTGATCATTTAAAACTATACAAATTTATGTGGAGCAAATTAAACATAGGTATTAAATTTTCAATCATTTGCTTAATTAAGAAGTCAGGGAGTCGCTTATCATAGATATTGATTCAGAGAATTATACATATAATTAGTGGCAGCTATGAAAATATTCCAATTTCATATACTTAATATCTTCTGACTTTCTTACCATTTTTTATTCTTTTTTATTAGTGTCATAATCTTATTATTTGTTTTTACATGCAAATTTAAGCATTACACGTCGAAGTTTCCATATGTCAATATTTAGTTTTTGTATCTTCTCATTATATATTTTGTGTGATGGCTATTTTAAAAAAAAATCTCCAATACACGAAAAATACACGTCGAAGTTTTGGTATCTACATGTTGAATTTTCCTTATCTCAACACTAAGTTTATTGATTAGTGTGCTGATAGTATACTTTTTGGTATATGATAATGGCTCCACGAGAAATATCAACATATATCATATTAATAAATAAAAATATTGCCACTTCGACTTTGGATAAATAAAAATTACAATTTAGTTCGAGAATTATGTTAAGGTCTGGTTGAAAAATCTTTTGTATTATATTTATGGATTAAATGTATTTTTGGTTTTTACAAAATTATTAAATTTGACTTTTAATTTTTATAAAGAAATATTACCTTTTAGTTTTTACAAATTTATATATATATATATATATATATATATATATATATATATATATATATATATATATATATATATATATATATATATATATATATATATATATATATATATATATATATATATATATATATATATATATATATATATATATATATATATATATATATATATATATATATATATATATATATATATATATATATAATATAATTTTAGTTCTTATAGGAGGATTAAAACGTCATACATAAATAATTTTATATAGATTAAAATGTGATATTTTTACAGGGATTAAAAATAAAATTTAAGATATTTATAGAGACTAAAAATGTATTTAATTTTATGTTTATTTTACTTATTAAAAATACAATATTGCAGTATGTGTCATGGTCCATTCCCTCAAACGAGAGGTTTTTAGATCCATATCTATTTGCACGACTGTTTTTTATCACATTTTTATTGGTAAAAAATATAGGTGGGGTGTTCCTTCTGTAATAGTAAAGGACTCGAAGGTTTTTATAGGTATATTATATTGTATAGTTGTTAGAGTTTGTCCACAGCACCGAGAAGTCATGTACGATGGAGTTTTATGGTGTTTAGGAGTCCTGCTCACGTGAGGTGAGAGGCTTTTTGGATGGTGTTGGCTGAAGATTTTGATAATATTATTAGAAGCCAAGCGAATTGAACGTTTCGATCGAAATGAAACAAAGCGTCATGTTTCGAAGTAGCAGAAGCAGTGTTTCGAATAAGCATATCAAAGCTTGGAGCTTCGAGTGGCAATTATGGGAACATATCTAAAGAAGTCTCGAAATAGCAACAAGGCTGTGTCTGAGAAGTGCGTTCGAAACGGAGAAGTACCAAAGCATTTGAAATTCAAATGGAAGCGGGACATTCGAAGTTTGAAATTTATGTGCTGGAGCATTTGGAGACACGTGGAGAGAAGAGAGAGGCATTGTTCTGCATGTTCTGAACGTGGCATAATCCTATAGCAAGACCGTTATGGTCGAATTAGTATAAATAGAAGTCTTAGTATTAGGATTTCGTGTGTCATATCTATTGTACTAAATACTCAGTAACATTCAAACTACCACATGGCAAGGGAAACGAATGCAAGAGCAATGTACGTATGATAGCACCACATATTTATGATTTAATGAAAACCTTTTATCATTTCCAGCACTTTCCTTCATCTTTCTGCCAAATAACATTTACAAGTTTTCTCATTCAAAGTCTTTTTATTTCAAAATCTCTTCATTAAAGTTTTACATTTTAATGCTTTCTTTACATTTCAAGCACTTTACATTTCAGAAAACTGTCATACTTTTCATGCCTTTATCTTCAAGTTTTATCTTTCGAAAGTCTATTTTTACTTAAAGTCATTTACAGATTTCTTGCATTAAACGCTTTCTTCATATTTCGAATCCTTTACGTTCCAGAACATCTTTTACATTAACTGTTTTTATAATTCGAAGTCATTTACTTACCTTTTATGCAATTTTACATGTCTTTACAATTAACATTTATTCATGCAACTTAGTTTCGTACACGCATATTTTGATTACACCTTTAGACCTTTAAGAGAGAAATCGAAATAAGCCAAACACCTATACAACATTCAAATATCAACCATGAATATTTGTTCGATCATGAGAGTTACCCTAATGACCAAGGAATCCTAGGATCAATCTAGTCGATCCTGTGAGTTACCAGAGAAATTGAATAACAGTCAGTAAGTTTATTCGATAGTTTGGAAGACTAGCGGTTGTTTACCAGAAATCACTGGAAACAAATTGGCACACCCGGTGGGACCAATAATTGGACATTAGAAATAAAGATTGTTGAGACATAACCATTATAAAAACGTTGGAATCTAAGAAGTTTGTTGTTTTATGAACCTAAGAAGTGGTAAAATAACCAACAACAACCAACCCTTATCCAGAAGAAAACGTTTGACCAAGATGTCTAATTCTGACAATCAACAAGGGGAATAAAATGTCCCACATACAACGGGCACTAATGTGTCCACTTCGATGGGAACATCTAATGTGATCCCTTCGAATGCACAGTCTGTTGCATCTTCAACCAGTAATATAGCCACCAATGGAGTAAGTGGCATATCAACTAATAGTTCGATCTTAGGAAATACTGGAACCATTGGTTACCCTGGGGGATTCGTTCCACCATCAGGGACACAATCCCATTTCGCCACTCCACTAACTAGACCACCCGGTTTCGATGGTAATAGAACCAGAAATTCCTCTTATGGAATGCCAACATCTTTTATGGTAGGTTTACACAATTCCACATCGAATTCATCACCACAATTAGGGTCTGGATCTGGGGCGAATCAGTTGATGACAAATAACCAAGGGTCAATGGGTTATAGCACAATGCCTATTTTAACCACAGAAAACCAGTTGGCTTTTAGGCAATTGATGGATGACAGTAACCATAATATGATAGGGGTGTTAGCACAAACTATGCAGGAAATATTTGCCCCAATAGTTCAAAATGTGACTGTGACAAACAGGGAAAACGCTGACAACATGAGTCGAATAGCAGATTTCTTTGCTCCCCCAGAAAGGCGTAGGCAGAATCAGGAGGGATTTCGAGCAAACATGCCTGTTATAGAACAAA